GGGGTAAGAAAACATGATTTGGACTAAATTATTTCATGCCTATCAGTCTATTTTGCAAATAATTAATAGATCAATGATGATTAAGTCCCAAAGAAAATGTAATATAAATGACTTCAAAGTACTGACAAGAGCTATGGAAGTGGTACCTGAGCAGCATACTTCAGGGCATTAAGGCACCCAAATGCCAAATCCCTCATCCTCCCAGGGCTTCAATCTGTAAGTTAAAGGTGGTGACCTTTTAAAGCCAATAGTTTTTATACTGCAAAGTTTTTATTGTTAACACTAGGATCCTTTATTCAATAATCTCTCATAGGGAACCCCAAAAGATAAAAGCAAAGAAGTCCCTGTGAATCCACAGCAATCCCAAGGCAATAAAGAAAAAAATATTGTCTGGACTAGTAGTTATTAAACTTTGGCAACTTTCAAATCTACTGTCTTATTTGTCTATGTATCAACAAGTTTAGAAAATCCAAAGTTTCTGCTGGCCAAGAAATAAATCATAAAGTCAAAAGATAAACGACAAATTTGGGAAAAATATAACACACATAAGCTGCTGATTTAACAAAGATTTCTTATAGATGAATAAGAAAGACCTATAGGCCAATAAAAAATTTGCAGAAACATCAATGATTCACACAAAATTAAACACACATGGCTTAAGTGAAAAAATGTTCAACATCACTTATAATTTACAAAATACAAATTAAAACAGTGATTAATTTCTTTTTAACTATAAAATCCTATGCTCATAAGAGAACAAACATACAATTTAATGAATAATTGCAAAACAAACATCCATGAAAATAACATTCAAGATATGCTGCCACCATCCCAAAATGGTATTCTGTTCCCTCTTCCCTACAGGTAAACACTGTCTTTTATGGTAATTACTTCCTTTTTTAAAAAAATCCTCACCAGAAGGTACTTTTTCCATTGCTTTACAGAGAGAGTGGAGGGGACGGGGCCAGGGGAGACAGGACATCAAGGTGACAGAGACACTGTGATTGGTTGCCTCCCACGTATCTGACTCCAATAGGGGATTGAGCCTGCAACCCAGGTACGGATGCCCTTGAAATCAACCCTTCAGTCCGTGGACGATGCTCTAACCACTAAGACAAACTGGCTAGGGCAGTAATTACTTCCTTTAAAAAAATAATACATTATGCCCTGGCCAGCATGGCTCAGTTGGTTGAGCATTGTCCCAGGCATCAAAAGGTCACCGTTTTGATTCCCAGTCAGGGAACATGAGTAGGTTGTAGGTTCGATCCCGGTGGAGGTGCATGTAGGAGACAACTGATTGATGTCTCTCTCATCAATGTTTCTTTCTCTCTCCTTCTCCCATCTTCTCTAAAATCAATAAAAATATGTTTTAAAAAATAGTAATACATTAACACATATACAGATATGCATCCCTAAACAATGTTTAGTTTTGCCTGGTTTGAATCTTATATTTAGGGAATTATAATGTATACATTTTTTAAAAATGTTTTTATTGATTTTAGAGAGAGAGGAAGAGGGAGAGAGAGAAACACTGACATGAGAAACATTGATCTGTTGCCTCCTGCACACACCCCGAACAGGGATCAAACCCTCAACCTAGGCACACGCCCTGACCTTTCTGTGCATGGGATGATGCTCAATCAGCTGCGCCACACTGGCCAAGGCTACACTGTACACATTCTTATATTTCTTCTGCTTGTATTACGCTTATAAAACATATGCATGTTGATAGGTGTAGTGTTTTTTTTTCTTTCTTGCTGAACAGAACTCCATTGTATGAATCTGTAATTTAATTGATCCATTTTACCATTGAGACACATTTGGACTGTTTTCAGTTTTGAGCTGGTGTAAGCAAAGATGCTATGAATTTTCTTGTGTTTCTTGATGTGCACATGTACATACTCAGGAGGGGAACTAGTGGGTTAAAAGGTACATGTGCCTTCAGCTTATTAGATAATGCCAACCTGTTTCCCAAAGTGCTATACCAATTTACATTCTCATCCATAGTGTTTGAGAGTTCCTGGTGCTCCATGACCACTCCTATATAATTGTGGCTTCAATATGCACTTCCCTAGAAACTGATGAGGTCGAACATCTTTTCATTTGGCTGGTCATCTGTATATCCTCTTTGGAGAATTTCTTCACTTTTTTTTTCTCCCATAGACTGCCTATCTATGAGATACAATTTTTTGCCTATCAGATCAAAAAGTATGAAAATACAGATGTGGCGAGAAGATGGAAAAACAGACATTCCCACTGCTAAAAGGAATATAAGCAACAACTCTGGTTCAACATTTAAAATGCACACACTTTAAGACCCAGCAATTACCCATCTAGGAAATCCATTCACCTACTTGCAAACATATACAAAAAGCTTAAAAAGAATGGCCACAGAAGACTTGTTAGTAATAGTAAAAGATTAGAAATAACTTAGAAATCCATTAACATATGCATATCTGCACAACCCAAGGACACGGACAATGGTGGGGAGAGAGGCTGGGGAGGGGGAAGGGACAGGGTGGAATGGGTCATTGGGGAGAAAAGGAAATCTGTAATATTTTAAACAAAAATAAAATCTAAAAAAAAAATAATAATAATAATAATAAAAAGAAATCCATTAACAGGAAACTCATTAATTATCTATACCTAGCCTTACAAAAGGATTCCATTCAACCGTTGAAAAAGAAATTAGGTGGAATTCTATGTGCCTATATGCAACAAGCTACAATAAAGTTAAAATGAAAAGATTAATGTGTTGCACACTGTGAACAATATCTTCTTACAAATGAAGATATATACAGTTATAAGCTTTAAGTTTTAAAATTATCTTCCACAACATATACAGGAAACAGGTAACAGGGGTTGCCTCTGGGGGGGAACTGTAAGACTTTTCAATATGTATCTTTTTACACAATTGGAGTTCTTTTACTTTGTGTCTGTAATAACATTCACATGGTTCAAAATTCAAACTTTACAATCCATTATAGAGTGAAAAGTTTTCAGACTCTGACAGCCACCTAGTCGCTTTTTCTAAAAGGCAACCAATGTTATCAGTTCCTGTGCCTCCTTTTATCTTTTCACTTAAACTGAGGATATAAAATAGGGTAAATTAAATGACAATTAAGCAAATAAATGACACCTGAAACTTACTCATCATCTTCCCGCTCTAGCTTGTGTTTCTTTTTGCAGGGAACTGAAACACTGTTGAAACAAACAAAGAAAAAGTAAATCAGTCTACTGAGAAATGTACTGAGCTTGTGCTTTCGGCATCCACTCTTTCTTGCTCCAATAAGCTTCCTACCCCACAGGTACCCAGCTGTCCCTTTCCTTGCGCAGTGGGATGGATATGCAGGTCACAAGGTCAATCAGGTAAATGCTGGGTGGTCCTGACCTAACCAGCGATTGAAATCTAAACTCTCATTCTGTCACGGTAATGGGAGATAAATTGGGGGAGACCCACATAGGGAAAAAGTATTCGGGGCAAGCACGGCGATGAGCACTTTATTTCCAAGATCTCACTAAGAGGACCCATTTTTGTCCCACTTTGCAGATGAAGAAGCTGACTGTCCGAGAGGCACTGAAAGTTGTTCCCATCACCGGCTGCGCAGTGTCCGCAAGAGGAGCGAGCCGTGAACCCGCCAAGCGGACAGACTCCAGTCGCCCCGGGTTCCAATCCCGTCCCGACCTGGTCGAGTTGGGTCAAGTCTCACTTTCCAGAGACGCAGGCAGGCCGAGTCCCAACGGGACTCCCAACGCAGGCCTCTGGCGACTTACAGTTACGGTCTTTGGAGATCAGTTTCCTCAAATGTAAACCGGGGCTGAGAAGCCTCCAGCGGAGGGTCCTGA